TTTGTGCAAACAAATCCTATTTAACGAAACTTTGCTAATATTTATATCCATTACCTGCCTACTTATTTTTGTACACAACTGTATATCGATACAATTTTATCGCTCCGGCGGTATTACTTCTGAATTAATTAACGAGGTGAGCATCATGTATAATCATTTATTAGTACATTTTAATTGGTCAAAACCAAATTTTCAATTACGTTATTTTAATTTATCCATACTTATCCGTATTAAATAAAAGATCCATACTTATCTGTGTTAATAAAAGATGAAATAAGTAGACTTATATTCTTTTGTTAACATGTATTATATAATGTTAAATTTTTTATAATTCTTCAATTTCCATCATTGAAATTGATAAAGTGTTTAGTATTTCTATTTCACAATTAGATATAAAATATTCAAGTTTCTTATAAAAGCATTTTGTATTCCAAAATATTTATTTCTTATTATGTCCTTGTAATTATTTACGACATACTCTTTGACCGAATAGAAGCAAAGTCTCTGGGAGGGGTCTTAGAAGAACATCAATATATATATATATATATATAAACACGAATCATTGAGTAGTCCAGAGAAGTATTCAAAAGACGTTAATTATTATTTGCTACTTTTATATACTATTTTATTATCATTTGGGTTTTCTGGATAAAATATCTTTAAGTCAACATTCCATATTACGAATTAATTTTTGTAATTATTTTGAATCAATTATCGCCAATAATTATTTAGAAAGATGTCATCCCATCTTGGCTTTTGATGATTTTCTAATATATCGTCGGAGATATGATTCTGAACAATTTTTCCCTGTAACCGTCGTTTGGTCTTAGTTTCCAAGATATTTGCAAAAAGCTGTCGGTACTACTACAGTGAATTCTACTTATAATCGTGCGTTTGTGATAGCTTATACGTTAGTATTGAATAAAATAACACCTAACCCAAATCTAATTTTTACTTTTTGTTTATAATTTATATAAGTTTGGCTGAAGTACCATTTTATCCTGCCGCCATAAGGCGGCCGGTAACTAATGCTAACGCATATGTTGTTACGGACGCATAATTACAAGCAGAATTCATCACAGAATTCAGTACCGGCAGTGTTTTCCAAATATCTCGAAAACTATGACCAAATGGCGATTACATGTATAGGAAAAAAAGTTGTTCAAAATGTCAATTTCTATAACATATTTAAAAATTATTGAAATCGGTAATGTGACAGTACTTCTAAATAATTACCAAATTTTCTTTTAGATCAATATATGTTCAAAGAAATACAAAATGGTCCTGTAAAATATACGCAACGAAATATATAAAACATTTAATATTCGGGTTAGGTATATTCATACTATTTAATATCAGAGAGTGAGAAGGGGGAGGAGGGAGGGAGGAAGAGAGAAGATATTAAAATATAGATATGTAATTATTATTTTCTATCAAATTATAAAAAGTTTATGTTAAACATGTTGTTAGAAGTAAATTATATATAAGTGGATCAGGTACTTGTCTTAGAGAAAATGTCAAAGGAGAAAGATGAACGATTCAGTAAGTATTATATCCGTAAAATCATCTTTTTTTACGAGCACTGATGTATATATAATCAACAATTGCATGATTTTTTAGTGGAAATGCATACTTCTTTACTTAGATAGCTTCCTACCGTCATTCTACGTAAAAGAGTATTGTGGGGTGCAATAGTAAAAAAATTATTCGTTATCGAGATATTTTTTAAATATATCTTTCTTGAAGAAGATGCTCAAACGTTTCATAGCAAATTCGTAATTATCGACATTGATGTGGGTAGTCGTGACAGAAACAGATACGTATTCGTTATTTAAAAAATTTATTTAAATCCGTTAAATTCTGTAGAGGATGTAAAAGAACGGATAATACCGAAATGCAACGATAATCATAAAAATCTTAAATTCAGTTATGAAAATAATTAAAAAGCGTTGTCTGAAATGTTTACAAAGTGATGAAGAGCAAGCGTTTGAACATCTTCTTCAATAAATACTTTCTTCTTAATATCTCGATAATTAATAATTTTGTTACTATTTTAACCCCATATTCATTTACGTACGTAGAATGGCGAGAAAAATCTATCCATGTAATAAAAAAAGTATCTATTTTCATATTAAAAACCTATGCGATTGCTGATTGCATATATATCATTGTGCTTCTTAAAGAGATAGAGATAGAGAGAGAGAGAGAGAAAGAGAAAGAGAGAGAGAGATCCTACGGATATAAATAAGTATAAATAATAAGTGAATCTTCATTGAATTTTTCTCTTTTGACATTTTTCTGTAACTGCACTGGTAACAGAGTTATAAGGTGATACAATTACATGGATCACCCTGTATAATGTTGTTTAAGATATTTTATAAAAATATATAATATAGAAAAGTTTAAACAAAAAAGACGAAAAAGTGGATTAAAATACAGGAATTGTAATTATAAAATTAGAATAACAAATGCTTCGTTGATTCTTATTATGAAATTTATATCAAATAATTAAAAAATTTATATTACCTTGTATTAGACTATAAGAATTATTTCTAGATCTTCTTTTTTCTAGATTCTATAGAAAAGTAAGCAATAGAAAAGATATATTATATGCATTCTTTACACAGATAACATATAATTATACATATTTTGAGTACTTTGTTTAAATTTATTTGAATTTATTATGTTGAAGTCAGATAAAATAACTACGTATTCACTGAATTATAAATTATAGCGTATAATTATTAAATATAATATATTATATAAATATATTCTCGAAATTCAATAGTTTTTTCAAATAGTGCTTTTTCAGAACCTTTTTAAAACCGAAAAATAAATAAAATATATGTACATACTTTTGAATATAATATATTGGAATTATCTAGATGAAATATTGTATTTGTAACTATTAATATCTCACAAAATTTTCTTGTTACTTGAAAAGTGTTTGAATTTTTAAACATTTTCTGTTGATACTGAGAATTATCTTTACTTCATTTATAGAATTTATCTTTTATACATTGTCAACTATTTTTACATTGACAGCTCGTATACGAACCGAACGTACGAGAATGCAATTTCATTTACCTCTGCGCGTTTTTTGACAACAATTTCCTTTCATAATTTTATTATAATTAATTTTATATTCAATTTTGTAATATTTTATAAGATATTCGACTATTTAACTGATTATTTTTGCTCATAACTCAAAAATGATACAAAGATGATTCATCCAAGATTTCAATATTTTATTTTTGGCATGGTCGTTTTATCATAATCGTTAAATTGCATTTTAATATTGGCTGTAACGAGATGTGGTTCAAAATATGTAATTTTATTAAGGAAAGTGGTGGTGATCTTGAAACTAAAAAATGAAAGAAGTAATCAGTCAATTATAATATTTTTCTAAAATATTGTAAATATTATATCATCTCTTAATTCAATTTTTCACATTATTGAAGATGATGATAAATGATCATTTTTGAAAAATAAGATAATCATTATTTATTATTAAAATGTCTTGTAATTACATAAGAAAGCAGAAAGATATATTTGTTTATGTAGAGAAATTTATTTATGTATTTGTAGAGTCACCTGCCATTCGTACTGTATCAAACGGATCTTCGATATACTCTGTGATGTATGCTGGATCTGGTAACAAAATAACAATAAAACGGAAAGCAGCAGCTACAGATGATACAGAAGTAGGACAACAGGATATGGATGGAAATTCACACAGCTCTGTAGGAGGGGTAAAATGTATTCCATCTTCCCACCTTAAATATGGGACCCCTTCTCAGAAAAAATCTTCAAAGGGCAGCAAAGTAATTTCAATAGATATTCGGTTAATATTATGCCTTACAGGAAGTTTACATTGCACTATAACTTTTATTTAAATGCTAAATGACGTGCATCCTCGTTAATATTACTTGTAAGGTACAATCATATTTCTAGATTTGTATAACACTTAATAACGTAGCTTATATTCAATTAACATTCTTTATTATATTTCAAGACTAACACTAGTTTAAATTTGAATATATATTTTGCTAGGTCCCATACCCAGATTGATGCAGATATCAACTTTAGATTGCATTTTATGACATATTATATTTTTTATTTATTAAATACTTATGTCTGCATTAATCTATAATCCTTACTTTAGTCCAATTTTCTGTAATAGTTAAAGGGTAAAGAATTTATTTCACTTCAGTCATCAGCTTTTAAAAAACCAAGATCAAATTCTACTCGAAGTAAAAGAAAAGGATGTAGATGTGGTAATGCTACAGCAATACCTGGGAAATTAACATGTTGTGGTCAACGTTGTCCCTGTTATGTTGAAAGTAAACCTTGCGTTGAATGTAGATGCAGGGGTTGTAGAAATCCTCATACAGCAGATGGGTTGAAGGTAGAAAAATTACAATATTATAGTATCAATAAAATTAATTAAATTGTATCTCCAAAGCTTTTTTTTTAAACAGTGTAGTTGATTATACCATATATTGTTTTACATTTTAGATTCGACCGCATATACCTGAGTTACATAACTTACAGTTACAATTATCAACTTCTTTGGATTGTGACACACTAAATTCAGATCCTTTAGGATCAGTGTCACAATGCCTTTCAACTTCTCCGACAACGATTCAAGTATTAAATGTTTATTCAACTCCGAGATTAGATATCGACAATGTTCCACAAAATCTACCTGCAGCCTTGTTAGTAGGAGAAGATGCTATGATTAGTACCGAAAGTGAAGCCGAAGACAGTGATATACAGATTGACGTGTGACAGTTCAAGCGATATTGTCAATCATCATGTACAATATAATAAGGTACGTGTAATGTAAAGAATGGTATTGCAGTTAAGACAGATGTTTTTTGAATAGGATAAAGTTCAAACTACATGACAAAAGGATAGTATGTAATTAATATGTAGCAAATACATTGATGATGATGATGATGATGATGATGATGATGATGATGACGACGATGATGATGTTATTTTTAATATTTTGTTTGAACACTTTTTTATTGTTATAATACCCAATAAATATTTTTAAATATACTTCTATAGCTTTTCTTTTAGTATACACTATTTTGGTTAGTTGTGTACCCATTAGTTTTCTATTATGTCAGATCTGTTGAACCTATTACAGATACATTTTATACTTACACAGAGATTAGCAGGCACAAAAGTAACACTTTCATGGGGAGCAACCCTGCTAAATGTAGAGATTGTGCAAGATTATAATGAAATTTTCTGATTAATACATCATATAAAAGTTTTGAAGGTCACGTTGCATTTGTTCCAGGTTTTTACAAATAAAATTTTTTACCTGCAAAAATTTCAAATAATAGTAGTTATTACAGAAATAACCATTACTATTTTACTATTACTATTACTTTACTTCGGCAAAGTGAAAAAGATCATGTTTATATGATTAATAGTTGAATAAATACTTAAATAAAGATTCATTTACATAAGTAGGACATAAAAGTTGAAATTCTTACAAGATTATTTCCTTAATCGTTAAGTTTCAGGAATACTTTGCATCGTATGTTTAAAATTATTCCGAGGATGATATAATAAATTTTTATTCAACAATACCTTTCCTTTATTTTGACTGCTGATGTCACTTGCAGGCTTTGTCCGCAGCTTTATCGTCAAGCAGTGGCAGGCGCCCTTTTTCCGCGAGAGTCAAATCGAGCGTCCCTGAATTATATTAATACTTAAAAGGGCCGAACAAGTGTCAATATATTCTCATTTATGAAAATTACGTTAATGGCCAATCAGGTATTATTTATCTACTTTTGGAACACGATGTGAGTTCATACGAATATACAAAATATTCGCGAATCTTATACTACTGACAGAGAATCAGAAAAATATTAAATGTCTCATTTGTATTACAAAATATTATAAAGAGTAAATTAAAATTTGTTTCATATTATAGAATCTATAGTTTTAAATGGCGTAAATATGTATAAAAATTGAAATTGACTTTATAATAGATATATGTTTAAAATTTTGTTAAAAAATATCGAAAAATATATGATATTATATCGTATAAATCATAAAGATATTAATGATTTCTTACCTTTGCGTTTAAACGAGTCAGTATGACAGTAATTTTTAACCAATGATATGCGTATCATTGCTGTACGTATATATAAGCGTACGTATGTACGTACGTACGTACTGCGTATGTATATATGTATACGTGTTGTTGAACATATAAATACGCGACAGGTGGTTGATGATACGCGAATAATATACCACATATATAGATACCTTGTCGATTTTCGAGTTTTCGAATTCTGATTTACGTGCAAGATATATTTTTGTTAGCTGTACTGAACTTTTTGAATTCTGCTTTTAATTTCACGCATTTATCACAGGGCTGTGAACAGTTGTTTTAAAGAAAATCAAACACAGTCCTTAACATATATATCTTCGCTTATTAACGATATATGTATTATTATGCTAAAAAAGAAATTGTTTACCACAATTACTATTTCTAATTTATTGATTTATTAATCATATATTTTGTTGTAGACATACAACATGTTGTTTTACTTGAATATTGTCTTACTATAAAATTTATTTTCCATTGCAGTTATATATACACATGGTTGAAATTGATTCTTTCTGTAATTATAAAAATGATAGTATGTCCCACAATAAAGATAACTTCTCTTTGAACAATTAATATAATTCTATTAATCCAATCTTCCTTACATTTGAAGATAAAGTGGTAATTTATTCTTTATATATATATACATATATTCTTAAATACTTGTATTTTTAAATACATAGTTGTAACTTTCACGTTTGATATATTTGTATTAATCGTAATTTCTTCCTTCAATACATAATGATAAAAATTGAAGTTCTTGCAATTGTACATTAACTTTAATTTCCATGTCTATTTTATACCTTACTGCATATTACCTATTCAATATATGAACTATACTTTGAGGGATTTCAGACTGGTTTGTTGCCCATAGAGTGTTAAAGCATTTTACTCGCGCTTGTAAGTTTCAAATTAAGGAAACCTAATAACTACTGAATGGTTTAGAAACGAACACAAACTTTAACAAATTAAACTCTGAGACAAAATGACTGTATTTTAAAAACTATCTATAAATCGAGAAAAACTTTAAACTATTACAAATTTTACGCTTGTAAGAAACATTGAAATGCACAATTGTAGGCAGAATTCACTGTAGTGATAGCGACAGCTTTTTGTGAATATCTCAGAAACTAGGGTTGTCCGTGGATTAGCTTAAAAAGCTGTTCAAAATCATGCTTCGATAATATATTAAAAAACTATTGAAATTATTCTGCGGTGGTATATCAGAGACTAGCCTGTCATTCTTTCGTCTATTTATGTCTTTGGATTTTACATAAAAAATAAGCGATTTATTTATGATCCAATAAGAAAAATTGTTATTAACTAGTATTAATAAAAATTGTTCTTATTGGAGTTTAGCATGTAGCAAAGCGACTAATTTATGCATTGACAATATTCATTCTTATGACAAATCCGTAGAGCGATTATAATTATCATTAATAAATAATTTTGACATTTAATCAATAGATTTGTTATCAATTTCTTTTTGTTTCTTTCGCCACGACTACGCTGCTGTATGTACGTAATTTATTTATTTTCACTAGAGCACATACCATAAGGTTAGTGTCACATAGGAGACAATATTAAGGTACGTATTACGATTAAGTTGACGCAATAACGTAACGTTGTGGTTACGTAGCTAGGGGCTGTGTATGCTATATGTCTAAAAATGGCTGCAATAAAGTTTGGACCTCAGTTGAAAGAGTTACGAATTCTTTTATGTCAAACCTCGAAATCTAGTAAGGGTGTCAGGTAATAGCGAAATTAATTATGTAAAATGTACTATCTTTATATTTTTTTTATTAACCTTTTTTAATTAATATACAATTTCAATCATAATTGATTATATTGCCCTCTAACCTGTTTATATTTTTAGAGACTTTATCGAACAACAATACGTGCCGCTTAAAAGAAGTAACCCACAATTTCCAGTTTTAATTAGGGAATGTTCTGACACGGAACCCGTTTTATATGCACGATATGGTAAATTCTACAATAATTATTTCATACTAATGCATGTGCGTAATGTTTAATCCTTGCATTACAAAGATATGTAGTTCTTAAAACCCAGTCTACCAGCAATAGGCCATTTTGTGCTCACTTCCAGAACATAATTTTGCCTAGCATATTAATATCGGACCAAGTGGTATTTAAATCAAATCAAAATATATAAAATATATTTCACAATACACATTGATATTACATTTGCTATACATTATTCTATTCCGATGACGTATTTATTTCGCATTGCTTGTAAGTTATCGATCCTTTTGCTGTGCTTTCCACATGTATATCTTCTACACAAGCTGCAAATGATTTTAATCTTCCTTAGATTGTTATATATTTTTTTTAAATACTGTTTCGCTGGAACACAATTAACATTTTTCTATGCTGTTGCAATCTCCTTTGTTACGAGAAATTTGTTTTACCTTGCACCCCAAAATTTCCTCCATGGCGATAAAGCATAGGCTTAAGAATATCACATTCAACAATAATTAATCTTTTCAGAGCTTGAACTAGTCGTATATATTTAATTCTAAGTTTCCAAGTGTCTGTTTTGTTTAATAATAATAATACATTTTCTAAAATATTATATTCTAGAATTTGGAGTAGAACGTCGTGTGTCTCTACAAAATCTAAAATCTGAAGAAATATTGAAATGTATCCAAGAACTAGCAACCAGTAAACCAAAATAATATATCTGATATATTAGTATGTATGTATGTATTATAATTTATTTAAATATTCAATAAAATAGTTGTATAAATTATGTATTATTGCGATTGTAGATCAGAAGTATATCAATAGCTTCCAATAAATTATCATTCTTACTAAATTTTTAGATTTTTAAAAGATACATGTTTAACTAGTGCCGAAATAAAGATAAATGCAGATTTAATATCGTATAAATCTTAATTTCTTCTCATTTGTGATATCTGATTGTAGCAGTATCCCCAATGAAGTTGTTCTTTTTTATGAATGTTAATTTTTATGAATGTTAATGATCCATTCTTAAAATAACAGAATAAAACCGTTCAATTCTTTCTTAGTTATGAGTATGTACTTTAGAAGTAATAAGTCTTTTATTAATAATTTTCGTTGATAGGAAGAAAAATGCTTTTAATATAGATAAAATCTTTGTTAATAATTTCTCTTATTCTTATTATATAAATTATATAAATTTAATATTTATATGAAAAATACATTTTTATATTATATATGATAAATTTTTCAAAGATGGTATCACCCCAAAAGATATTAATGCTTTTGTATATTTCCCACTGAGATAGAATCTGGATCATAGATACGTATTCTTATCTTGTTCTATTTTATATTGTATTATATTAATTATAATTAAGTAATGTGGCAAATAATTTAATAAAATTCATAATTTAATTACTTGTATTAAACGTATACAACATATAAAGAAAATATAATAATTAGACACAACGCGAAAATAGAAAATAGATAAATAAATGGAAGCTAGTCTTTTTATCATTAAAGGATCTTAAATAAGTATTTTTTATTTCGGATAAATTGTATATTGCATATGATCTGTGTATCATATATTTTTTGCATATAGTATTCTTTTTATATACATATTCCAGAGCTTCGTACAATTTACATGTATATACAATATTTTCGTATGACAAGTTATTATTTTAGTGGTCGGATAAAGTATTAGAAATATATAATTGAAAATAGTTTGTAATAAACTTATTTTCAGGATGGCATAAGGCAAATAGATAATGATCATACTCTTGATTGAACAAAGTGAAACTCCTCGTTGATTTCCTTAATATTTTTATACATAAAGTAAAAGTTAAAAAATTATTAAATTTGTTTGCGTTATAATGGAAAAACTGCTTCTTATATCAGCAAACCTTCCGGCACCTTGGTATATATGCCATCAGGTATATAAGGAACACATGACCGGCGCGCTAGCTCAGCGTGTTAAAAACCTCCTATGTAATCTATCCTATCCCTTCCCTCGAATTCTGCATTAAATTAAAACAAGAAAGATCTAATACAACGTAGGATACATTTTTATGGAAAATTAGAATTACTCATTTGATATACTTATAATTGGACCCGAGCGTAGTCATCTCCCCGTGTAAGGGTGCCGGTAATTGTTTCTCAAATATTAATAGCTCGAAATACTATTGTAGATATTAGGAAACCAATATAATATACATTTAAAAAATATCACAAATATATTAGCATTTGTAAAACTACAGACTCAAGCTAAGAACTACTTTAACATAGGCCAGTCTAGAACATGTAAAATTCTTTTGCGGTCTTTCGGTAATCTAGACTTGTCTGACACACCCCTGCGGGGGTACCGTGAGACACCGTGGGACATCGTGGGACATCGCAAGAACATCGTTGTATAGGTGCGTTTTAGTTTTAATTGAGATTTCAAGATATCTTTTTTTTTATACATGGGGAAATCCTCATGGACACCCCACTGCTCTTCTAGAAAGCGACGGGGTAGTGTAGGACTATATCGACTAAAACCCCATGGTGGTCCGTCTGACTCTCAACAGGGATATAAATATATCTAGACTAGGTCCATTTTGTGAGCGCTTTTTCTACAAAGATGCATTGTTTAATTTAGAACGAAAAGTTGAAAGCTTTTTTATATAATCCTTTTAAATATTAAATTATTAAATAGAGCAACTGGTTTGCCAAAGCGTTTATAGTTTTAGTTAAAAGATTTTGCTCGAATATAACGTTGTACTTTAGATTAGTATCTCTTTAATATCTACCTTTAGTCTAGCTTTGCTTACAAGTAGGTTTTAGTTCTAAAATTTAGATTAAGTTAATTTTAAACACGATCGTTGGTCGGTGAGAGACAATGGGGAACTTATTCTTTGTCGGAAGTTTTAAAGGTTACCCTTAAGTCTGATTTTTAATTGTTGTTAAGTTATAGCTGCAAAGTTAGCTTTAAGCCTTAGTTTCAGTACATTTGCGAAGATTGATGTCCTTGGCCGATATACAGGGTGGTTGGCAACTGGTGGTACAAGCGGAAAGGGGGTGATTTTACGCGGAAAAAGAAGTCGAAAATATAGAATAAGAATTTTTCGTTTGAGGCTTTGTTTTCGAGAAAATCGACTTTGAATTTTCGCGTTTTATTCGCGAATTTTATAGAAAAACAAAATTTGTTACACGAAAACGTTATTTGAATGCCTAACATGAATGTGTTTTAAATAGAATTACGTAGATCACAATTATTGTAATTTTTTATTAGTTTATATGACAATATAAGTATAAATA